ACCCTAACCCTAACCCTAACCCTAACCCTAACCCTAACCCTAACCCTAACCCTAACCCTAACCCTAACCCTAAACCCTAACCCTAAGTAACCCTAACCCTAAAGTTCGCGACGACGGATCTCACAACATCCATGATTCAGGGTAAGCCTCCGGCATTCCCTCCTGACGTGTGGCACCGGCTCGACAAGGGCCCTGTGTGGTGGGGTCGTGACCCGTTGGGTAGATGCTCCCTCGCGTCCGTCTTTCGCGAAATCGCCAAGATGGGCCTGTACCTACAAGCCACGACAAGCACGGCCGAAGATCTGTCTATCGAGCGCATCCGCGAATTCGAAGCATCCCTTCGTCCAGTCTATGCGCCACTGACTGTCGCCGATGCTGACGGCCAGAGCCCCTCCGAGGTATCCGACTGCTCCACATCTACAACAGAAGCCGAGGCTGTACATGCATTCACTCTCGTCCGCATCTTCCAACACACCGCCTTGCTGTACCTGTATAGAGCCATTTGTGGCCTTCCGACTCGTCACCCGCTTGTGCAGCAGCATGTCAAATCCTGCCTCGCTTGCATCTTTGAGATCCCTCGGGAGGCAAACAACCTAAATTGCATCGTTTTCCCGCTGTTCATCGCCGGAGCCCATGTTTCATTGGCAGAAGAGCAAAAGGCCGTTCTTGACATGGCTGACGTGATATACGATGACATGCGATTCGCTTCTATCGACGCAGTCAAATCTTTCTTTAAGACCATTTGGCCGTCCAAGTCTGGAGAGAAGACTTGGCTTGAAATCTTCAGCCATCTCAGCCCACACGTCCTAGTGCTGTGACTTGTTGACTAAGGTAGCGTGCGGTCGGGCCGTGAGCGGTGAAGGAAGTGTTAGACACATATGCAACGCGATAAAGCAGTCGAAACGAACATGTGGTCCATAAACAATATCACTTCATGTACGTGTTTGTAATCGATACAAATTCATGACGATGAGGTCCTGAATATGCAAGTTCATCTCGAGGTGAGCCATTTTCTTTACTGTAGTAATCAAAATGTAAGGTCTTCATAGGCAAATTCCTGGCCGGAGGGAATACAAGACTTGATAGTGATAAAGATCAGCACTCGGTTTTATTATTTCGCGGAAATGACTGTACTGTACTACATATAAGGTACTACTATGAGGCGTGAATGCTGCTACCAACACCTGCCTCCGCGGCTATCGTTCCAGAGCCTATTGCCAAAGCCTGGTGCTTCACAACTTGCTGTCTCTGGTGCCACAGCACGACTCGGCGAGCTCCGACTTGGCGAATGCGTCCTTGGATGTCTTGTCCACGGCAACAATGGAAGGCGGCACCCACAGAGCTGGGTTTCTCTTGAAGAAGTTGGAGGCTCTAATCATGACCCCAACAGGCTCAGCCGGCATGACCGGGAAATCCTCGGTGCGCGGGAAGTGAGTCAGGCCGAACTGGATATAACAGACGATGTCGGTATTCTCAACCGGCTCCTTCTTGCTGACCCAGTCCACAATGGTTGAGTTATGCGGGTGGCCCTCATCGCCACTCGATTGGCATACATAATCACCCGCTGGAAACAGTTCATAGTCCTTGTAGGGGGTGACCCAGAGCGCCTTGCGGGTGAAGGCAGCCCTCTTCTCTACCATACTTCCAGGCTTGGCGAGGATGGTAGGGCAGTTGTTGTTGAGAATCTTGTAGGCGACAGGCTTCTTAGCCACGGGGTTGATGCTGTTGGGGTTGATGATGTCCCAAGAGCGGCCTGTCTCGTGGCAATAGTCGGCACCACCGGCGTTTCGGATGGGCGTCTTCTTACAGTAGAAGCCGTTACCATAGAGATTGCCAGGGGATCCGAGAGGATCATCGGAAAGCGCAGCATCGTTCTGCAGGACCGAGTTGCTGGGGCCGTCAACTTCTGGGTCCACCCGCAGAGAGAAAATGTGCTGGTGGTTGTGGGCGTTGATGAACGGGGCGACTTCTGTACCGTATGGGGCCGCCGTTTCACTGGGGTGCATACAGTAAGTATTGAGCATACCCGTCAACTTGACTTCCAGCTTATAGGTACCATCCAAGAGGAATGTGTGGTAGAAGCAGTACTCATAGTTCGCAGCTGTGATGATCTGCGAGATAATGAGTTTGCGGTCGCGGGCTGAGATGACGGTACCGTCGCGGTAATCGGTATGTTTGTAAAGCAGGCCATTGTCTTCCTCGTGAATGCAGATGGCATTCTTGACGATAGCCGCCTCACCGCTCCCAACAGCCATAATGGCATCCATGTAGTGAATAGCTCCCTTGCAGTCGCATCCGAGCTTGAGGGAATTGGTCATGAAACCAGTACCATACTCGCCCACATCGAAGGCGTGCTTGCGTTGGTGCGGGGGATCCGGATTGCCATAGGGTACTACCATCTCAACCACGCTGATGCGGTTGAAGAGGCTTCGCTCGCGACCCTCATCGTCAATCCTGACGTCGGATAGAACAATGCCCTCACGGTAGTTGAAGCCAATATGCATCTTCAATCCCGCCCATGAGATCTCGTTCTCGTCCATGCGGAAAGAAACGCCCTGCGGCTGGCTAATGTCGATGGGCTTGAGCCTGTCCTGGTAGCCACTGCTGATGAACTCGGGCAAGTAGTTGTGCTCCTGGAGAGACACCTTGGTGCGCTCGCCGTTGACCAGTCGGATGTCGACGGAGAGGACTTCGGCCTTTTCAGTGTCGACAACAACCGAGAAGTCCAACGGGTGGGCGTATTGGTTGTCTTCGGGAGAATTGCGATAGTAGACAATGCCCTGCTGAAGGCGGCGATCGGTACCCCATCGATGATCGAATCCAATGGCCCACGCGTCAATAAAGACCTTTGACATGTCATAGATGCCGATTTCACGGCAAGCTTGAATGACGCGAGGGTCAGCTCGAGTGACGGTCTCGCAGATGTCGAGATCCTCCAAGGTGAGGGTCGGGGCAACGTCCGCGACATCCTTCCACAGTTCCACCTGGGTGCTTTCCAAGTTGACAACAACTTCAGTCACCTGGGAAGTTCCCTTAGCGATGACAATGGCGAAGGCGCGGCGTCCAGGGCGAGGGCCGAGACCAGATTTGAAGGCAGCGTATTCGTTCTTCTTGGGCTCGCGCAAAGTCAGGCAGTTGAATTTGAGGTCCTTGGGACTAGCATAGTTCTTGATGAGTTTCGCAGCAAGCTGGATCTCTTCAATCGATAGCTGATCTTCAAAGAGGAATCAGTAATTAGCTCAAATGTCGTGATAATGCAGATTCAAGGAAGCTGATGTTCATACCCAGAGGATGTACTCGATGCTGAGTAGACAGATTTGGAACGGTATCGCTGGGCTCTTCCCGGAAGATTGTGTAGCCGGCTATAGAAGAGGTGTCTGCAATCATGATGAGGGCTGTCTGGGCTGTGCAAATATTCCATACGGTGGTATTTGTGATTCGACCAAGGTCGATTGTTGATAAGTGATGGAGTGAGAGACCTGGCAAACAGGATGGAGGGCTGGTGTGAAAACGATGCGAAGTAGTTTACGGTTTGATTCCTTGTAGAGAGATGTGACTGCGAACAGACAAAAGCCAAAACCGTCAGGCGGGTAAGTCTACCTCTTATAGTTGGAAAAGTGATGCTGGGGCGTCTGTGGACGTGACAATCGTACGAGAGCCAACTGCAGCGTCTTGCGGAGCTCTCCTAATGACAAACGTAAGATAAATTGCAATGTGCACCATCATATCAAGACCACAGTGCAAGCAATTCTGGCGTCTTCATGGACCCTGTCGCCGGGAGTCCCTGTCGAGCGACTCGCGCTTGGCGATTTCGGCGCTGCTTAGCTCCATTCTGTAGCGGAACATCGGAAGGCGGAGATTTTGGGGAGAGAGGAGACCGGGCCGGGGTGCGACAAGTGGACCGGCATTGCTGCCGGCCGCTTTCGTAATTGAGTACTCAGATTCGATCTCGAGGTAAAGGGGATTGCAATCAAAAGCGCGCTTCGAAGCAACGGAAGAGCGATTCGGATTGGCTCTGAGAATCGGAGTGTGTCAAGGTGAAAGTAAGTGTGAATAACGACAGGTGTGCATGAGGTGTCTAGCCAAGACCAATGGATACCATGGGCAAGTTACTTACTGAATTAGGAAGGAAAAACGACCATGCAGCCCCCCAGGGATCCCCAGCCCCTGGACCGAGGGGGCGGCGGCGGCTGAATCGGCATTCATCTCGGGGTGAGACGCGCTCAACGGAACGGTGGGCAGGCGGGCATGCCAAGGCCGGCGGGCTCAAATCTCCATCAACCCACTTTGTCTTGGGAACGGGTTCCACTGGAGATTAATGTGGCACGTGTCACGTGCGTTAGTTGATTCTTTTGTTCGCATCTACTGACCATATTCTGGAGCCTGAAGAATTCAGACACGAACTTCCTGGAGTGTTTAGCTAGTACCAACATCAAGAAATCACCTCGAGATAGCTCCCCAGATCAACGAGCGTATCGCATAAAGGGGAGAGTAGTCATTGCGGTTGAGCCATGTTACGGCTTCAAGTCCTGTTCACGGAAATAATGAATATTGTATTGGATGCTATACATAGGAATACCCAGACTGTACAGAATAACAGCGTCTACATTGCATTTATCTGCTCCAAGAACACGCCTAAACCTTGCGAGGAACCGGAGCAGTAGTCACCTCGGCGTTCTGAGCCTCAATGATTCGCTCCGCCGCATCATCCGTCTTGAGATACGTGTATTGCCCCTTGATGAACCAGAAACCCAGAGTCACCACCATCATGACCCCAAATACTGCGATTGCGTAATTCATATCAGCTGGTGCTGGATTGGGTGCTGATGGGAAGAAGAAAAACACCGTAGTAATAGCGCAGTAGATGACGGAGATCCAGTTGATTGCAGGGCCGAGGCGTCCCAATCTGAATTCTCCAGGCGGAAGCTTGTCTCGCCCGACGAGTAGGAGAGTCAGGATGGGCATCCCATAAGATATCGTAAGGGCGATTGTGCTGACGCTGAGAATCGCCTCGAGCACCGTGTTGGCAAACATGTAGAGCACGCCAACAACGCCAACAATGGCTCCCTGAAGCCATAAAGCGCGAGCCGGCACACGCCAAGCCTCATTCACCCTGGAGAAGTAGCTGCTACAGGGCATCCCGCCATCTCGCGCAAATCCCCAGGTCAGACGAGAGGCGGTGGTGACGATACTGATAGCTTGACCAAGACCGTTGAATATGAAAAGGGAGAGCAGGACAGTTGCCCCTTGCAGTCCGACAGCCTCATGAACTAGATCCATGAAAGGCAGACCAGTAGGAGGGTTCAGGATGGTGTCAAGATTCTGGATACAGAACAAACACACCACCATGAAAATAAATCCAGTAACAGCTCCCAAGGTGACTGAAAGCCAAATGATGCGCGGAATATTTTTGCGAGGTGCCGGGATTTCTTCAGCCAAATGGACAGCAGAGTCAAAGGCCGTCAACCCATATGCAGCTTGGAGAAGGCCTGTAAACCAGGTCACCCCGTCTCCCCAACCAGTCTGGTTGATCCATTGTCCAAAGACGAATGAAGCTGGCTGGAACTCCAAGTTTGGCCTGACTCCAACGGAGATGAGAAGGGCCAGACTGAAGATGAAGAAGAGTCCGATAAAGCAGATTCCGACAAAGTTGTTAAATGCCGGTAGGATGGCATCTTTCCGGCAGGCAACGAGATTGGCGACCGTAACCACCAGAGTGACGGCAAGATAGAGAAGAAAGTTGATCCATCCAACACTGACCTCGGACCAGTCAGGCACAAAGAGAACCTTCATGCTCAAGATAAAGTTGGCCATGAAA